TTAAATAATTCCACTTCTTAGAAATTACCCTCAAGGAAGAATAATATCATGTAACAAGTGGAAAATTTTTCCTTTGGGATCTGCCTGTGCCTTGTGCCCTGGCCTTATCTGTGGCCATCAGGTGATAAGACACTAACTTCCCCACCTCCCCTGCCACTCTTGCCTCCTGCTGCTCTGATATCACCAGGAAGAAACTCTAAATTTATAATTGCAAAGCATAAGTACATTTCATACTGAAAATATCCACCAGTGAACTTGAGCCCAATCACTCACATTTCAGAGCAATAGCAGCAAGCTGAATCAAAGATCATTCCCAAGTGTCCCTGAGTTTGATCTGAGTGACCAGCCCTCAGGGCAGTCCCCAAAATCCTCAGCTTCTAGAACTCATCCTCTCCTTTTCCGTTTGCAGTGTAATTCTTTCTCAGGTCGTACCAGGTTGACTACATTTGTCTCTGTGAGTAATGCAGTGTGGCAGATGTGGTCATAGTTAAGAACCTTCTGAGATTAGCTTCCACCTGGGGCTCTTGGCTTTGGCTCATTCCTTCTGGAAGTTGCCATATTATGAGTGGCTGTAGGAGAGAACTACCAGTAAGAAACTGACAGCCCCTAAAAACAGTTGCATAGACAATCTTGGAAGTAGACCCTATCCTAGTTCAGCCAAGAGTTTAATTAAACTAAAGACTGAGCCAGAATCACCCAGCTAAGCCACTCCTTGATTCCTGACTCTTAGAAAATATGTGAGAAAACAGGTATTTGCTGCTTTAAGCTTCTAATTTTGGAGATAATTTCTTATACAGAAATAAAAACTAATACAGCAGCCCAAACAGAACAATGCCTCTTTAGTATGTGTTATTATTAAACCCATTTTACAAAGACACTGAGGCATAAAGAAGTTAAGTGATCTTCCCAAAGCCTTTCCAATTAAAAACAGGGGAAATCAAGATTTAAACATAGATCTGCCTGAATCCAGAGCCAGTGCTCTTAATCCATCACAGTCTACGCAAATTGCTCTCTAATCAGCCTTTAATCTGGAGTAGGAACCTTGCCTATAAGCTATCAAACCCTGCACTATATTTAGGACTTAGTACAATTATTTTCATTTTCTGTTTAAGACTGCTCTTGAGGAACAAGAAGTTGCCTGTGTTCATACATTCATTCAACTAATATCTATTGATGGTCCAAATTGTTCTGGGGGCCGGCCACACAAGGGTGAATGAACAGACAGGACTGCATCTGTGGACAACTTACACTTCAATGGAAGGAAGGGGCATCCATCAAATGAACACAAACTTTGCACTTGTTGAGCACTACACGGGAGCTCTGGGAAACCTTGACCCTGATCAGGAAGGGCCTAAAGACTTGCTGAGAAGTGGCTTATCCTAGTGGAAGGGAGAAGGGGGATTCCACTTGCAGAGACACCCATATACTCCACAACCCCCAGAAGAAGAGAGAAAACTCTCCATTAACTGCAACGAGGCCAAGGCGATGAGGAGTCTGGCGGGAGAAGTGGCTAGATGAAGCACATGAGGCCAACCACGCATTGTCACTCTGTAAGCCACTGTCAAGAGTTCATCTCTCCCCTGTAAGCAGGGGGAGCAGAGGCAAGAGGTGTGGATGTGGGGTGACAAGACTGTGTTTACGGTATAGAGCACTCACCTCTAACCCCAATACTGGACACAGCCTGGTAGAAGCTGGGGTGAAGAAAGGCCAGGGGCTGGGAGACAGCAACAGGAACCGTGATGAAGGGCCCCATACCTCGCATGCTGTCTGGCTCAGGGTTAGCCCTGAATAAGCATTCACTGAAATGAAACATTCCCTGAAATGATTACACGGGAACCTGCTGCACCCAGAAAAGCAAAGGCCAGCTGTATCAGCTCTGAGACCTCAGGACATAATAATAGCGATCTCCTCAGCTTCAAACTTCATGAGAGAAGGAAAAATGTAGTACCCACATAGTCAACCAGAAGAGTTTCAGTACCTTGCTTAGGTGCAGAATGCAATTCCTCCTGATTGCATCTAAAATCAAAAACATAGGGATGAAGATGGTAGCATGACAGGTTAAATTCCTCTTTGCAAAGTCTTACATCCTACATCAAAGCCCCAGGGCAGGTCCCAGCTGCTCTGCATCCGATCCAGCTTCCATCATCCTTGGATGCAAAGAATGATGGCTCAGCTGTTTAGGACTCTGTCATTCACATGGAAGACCTACCCAGCTGGAGTTCCAACTCCTAGTTTTGGCCTGGCCCAGTCATGGCTATTTTGGGCATCTGGGGAGTGAAACAGCAGATGAGAAATCTTTCCCCTTTGTTCTGTCTCTCCCTCTCTCTCTGTAACTCTGCCTTTCTAGCAGTTAAGAATAAATACATAGACATTAAAAAATAAACACATAAGGGTTGTCCAAGATGTGAGATACAACCTGGGAGACATGTGGACCCCTGTAGGCTTCCATGACTGTATAAAACTCAATTGAGCCAATGGAGAGACATTAGGAAGAAACAAACAAACAAACAAACAAGGGGAGAGGGTTTTATTGTGGCATAGAGAATAAAGGCACTACTTATGATGCTCGCATCACATATGAGCACTGGTTCCAGTCCTGGCTGCTCCACTTCCATTCCAGCTCCCTGCTTATGACCTCATAATAGATGATGGCCTAAGTCCTTGGGCATCTGCACCCAAGTGGGAGACCCAGAAGAAGCTTCTGGTTTCAGACCAGTGGATGGAAGATTTGTCTGTCTCCCTCTCTCTCTCTATGTAACCCTGCCTTTCAAATAAATAAAATTTTTTCTAAAGAAAAAATAAAACTGCTATGCTATTGTATAAAGAAATTTATAATAGCTCTGCTAATTTTGTAAAAATTAAATCAGAGCAAAAGAGAAAAGGAAGCTCTAGAAGTTTCATGTTTTCCCCTTAAAACTTAACATTCCATAACCATGCACATTTTTTTGAAAGTCCTTATCATTTACCACCTTTGAAGGTATTTTGATGAGCCTTGACCCCTGGAGCAGCATTTGTTCTGCTAAGCTGGATGAAAGTGGTAAGATTACAAGTTTGAAGGAGGTTGGATTAAGTTAATACAACTTCTACAGAAAAGGAGAAGAATGATAGAAAGATCCAGAAGGCGAGAGAAAGAAGGTAGAAGAAACGGGAAGACTGCTGATAAGACCCAGCTGCTGATAAGCTAAAACCAAAAGCCTCATTGTAAACTTGAATGGGGATATTTTGAGTCGGGAGTGTGCTGGGATTCCTCACCCCACCTAACAATTCCATTATGAAATCCAACATGGATGCCATGTGGAAATGCAAAGAGCTATAGCCTTGTGAGTGGCACAAGGCCAGTTATGGCTACACTGGGACAGCAGCACCATGAATTTCTCAGTGCTGTGACTACCTGACTGTGAGCTACAGCTCCTCCCCCACACACCTGCACATCCTCCAGTCCCCAGCCCCTGACCCCCAGAGGAACACACTTCTATCTGACACTGCCAGCAAGTGCCTGGGGACAGAATCAGCCCAGGCCTTGGCCTCCAGCATCCATCCACACCCTCCAATCCTGCTGTTATCATGGGCCATAAAACATCTGACAGGTACACCCACACATCTCATCTCTCTGGCTCTGGGGCTCACTCTGAATGAGTTCTGAACACACAGAGAAAAGAACAGTGTTATTTATAGTCTCTTCTGGACTCTAACATCTGTGAGGACTCTGCAGAACTTTTTGCAAGAACACACAGCAGATAATAAAAGTTGTCTCTGGGTAAATCTGGCAGCATCTTATGGGTTTTTATCTGGTAGAAACATACACTACTAACACTTTTAGGCTTCAGCCTTTGCTAGCAATCAACTTTCATTTTTACATTTGCACTTGTCTGAATCAGCTAGGATTTAACTTTAGTCAGTCGCAAAGCTGGTGTCTTTGGTTGTGTCACCATAAGCTCCCCATTGCCTTCATTTACTATTCTCCTGTGTTTGGGTTATTCCCACCTTCTCAAATCCAATTCACTCTGACTTTGTTTCTTCTGATGCCTTTTCAGCGGTTGAACACTAAGGAAAAATATTTCAGTGACACCTACTTAGATTCAGGGTAGTATTTTCAACATGCAGCACTTGCAAACTATGTTCTCACAATACATTGAATGCAATCAAACATTTGCATGAGATTGGATCAGAAGATAGTGTGTGGGTAATGGTCAACTTAAAGGCCATTATTGCTCGTGCTAAACATTCAATAAATACTGGCTAGTGACTTTCTAAAAACACATTTTAGGGCACTAAGGAAGATGACTTTCCTTAGGGACTCACACATTGCAGGCTGAAGGACTTCTTTAATGATACGCCATCTTTAACTGAGCAAGCTGCCAAACAGCATGAGGCCACAGGTCTAACAGTGTAGAAAGGAAAAGAAGCAAGCAAGATTTCCTGCCTCTCCTCTGTAGAGGAACGCTGTGCCCATCCCAAGTGTACCCTGCAGGTTATGTGAATCTAAAACATCCTTTATTATAGTGATTCAATGGCTAGTTTTCATTAACGAGCAAGGCTATTGCACCAAAACTGTTGTACTTTGCAGTGGTTTACCCAATAAACTTCTGGAAATGTGAATGAGATCAATAAATAAAGTAATAAAAACTAGAGAAAAAGAATTACTTATCTGAAATAGTCAACTGAATTAACTCAGCCATCATATTTTTCAAACTTGGGCCCCTGATGAGAATATCTCTGTCCCATTTGGCCAAAAATATTCTTTCCCCTTCTCAACGGCATTCTCTCCACACTCCTGACCTCACTCCTACACCAGGCCTTGTTAATTCTTTCAAAACCAGTTATCTCACTTATGGACACCCATGCCTTCCTGTGTTGTAGGCCTCCTCTTCAGACCACCAGAAATGTTACTTTACATGACAAGAAGGACTTAGGGATATAATTAACATTAATGACCTTGAGAGGTGAACATTATCCTAGATTATTCAGGAGGGGACTCAGTCAGATTGAGAGGACTCTACCTCTAGGAGTGTCTTTGAAGATGGAAGCAGGAACGACAAGCCAAGCAGTGCAGGCAGCCTCTCTCAGCTGGAAAGCACCGGAAGGATGCCCTCCCGCCAGAGTCTCTGTAAAGAAATACACTCTATTAACTGCTTGACTCGAGCCCCATGAGACCAGCATCCAATTTTCCATCTGTAGGGTAATACATTGCATTACGAAAGCTACAGTCTCATATGTATTCCCTGTACTCACAGCATCCTTTCCTATTCTGACTACCTAATAGACACATCATTTTTCTATGTCTCAATAATCACCTTCTCAGTGACTTCCCAAGGGCTAGCCCCCGGTCAAGTTCTTGCTTTTGCTTCCAGATTTCTTATGTTAATTTCTATTGGATATATTGTGGTTATTGACATAAACTGAACTGTATAACCTCCTCAAAGACAGGGCATGGCTTTTCAAGCAAGAACAGGGATGGAGGGCATGGCTAGTTCATATCAGGAATTTCATTATACTTAAATGAATGAATGTTCAATCCATGTGTTGGTTACTCAGAGGCGCATTTTTTCATGGTGCTATAATTTGTTCTTGATGTTGTTGTTTTGTTGTGGCTGTTCTAACTCATACTCAACAACCCAGTTGTTGACCTTGTATCATGGCTTCCCACTTATGGAAATGTATAGTGATGGAGTACTGGGGTCTATCATATACAGATGTGGGGGAATAATGGAACATGCATCCCTGCTTCCAGACAAGGTGGATTCCCTATGAAATTATTGGACATGAATGAGATGTTTAAATGTCCTCAGTATCACCTCTAAGCTGCCCTTCCCCAGGGGGTATGTTTTCCTTCCAGCCCCACGCTGCAGTCCTCCACAGATGGCAGAATCTCCGACGGAAAAACAGTTACACATACAGCCAACTGCCCCTGGTCAAACCTCATGTCTGCAAGGATAGTATTTTTAGTTATGGAGCCAAGTCAAAACCTCATATAAAGCCAAATCAACCAAGAGCAAAATTGGCAGAGCAAGTGATGATGTACTTATTTTATATTCTTTCTAGATATTTCCAGATAGGAGTCAAGAGAGGTAAATGCCGTCACTGAGGCAGTTTTCATAATAATGGTGATACTATCAGTAGCCAAGCTACTCCCTGATCCTTTGTTTAATATAAAATCCATACAGAGGCAAGATCATGGCTATCTAGATCCTGTCACTGTCCAAAGTGCCAGAGTACTGCTAATTTTGAAAATTACCTCTTTTTGACGAAAGGGGAGGGGAAGGGAAAGAACTAAACTCTCACTGATAAGCAAAAATCTAGTACACATCTTCTAGAGAGTGAATACACCCAAATGCTGGGGATTTGGACCTGCCTTATTCACTGCTGAGCCTGAGAACCTACAATGATTGGCACGTAGAAAGTGTTCAATAAAACACTTGCTTCCACACCCCAGGGTTCAAAGAACAAAGCCCACAGAACTCAGTTCTTCTACACAAGAATGCTGGTAGCGAACAACTATGAAAGCACACAGTTGTGCGAAATACGGCTCGGTCTCAGTTGGTTAGCTTCAGCCTGGCTGATTCACATTGGCCACAGCTAGGGTCAAGTTGCCTCTACCTATCAGTCATCCTCTTTAGACCACATGACCCATAGAAAGGCAGCAGCAGAAGCGGCCAAGCCAAACCACAAACACCTTTCAGGCCTCTGCTTCCACACTAGCTGGTATTCAACTGGATAAGCAAAGTCCCATGGCCAACCTGGCATCCTTAGTATGGGACAGTACATTTTTCCCACAGATGGGGAGCTGGGACAGGAGTGTCTGTCTCAGCTCCTCCCAGGAGCCAGCATTTTCAAAATTCAAATAAAGTTGTTTCTTTTCTTTTCAAGAAAAAAAAAAATCTTCACTGGCCCTCCAGCATCAAGTTCAGCTATTTTTATTCTAACTCACTTAACAACATGGAAATGCAAAATGACTTAGATGCATCATGTGCTTATAGTCTCATACCACTCTCGAAACAAATGCACAAATGAAACAGAACCACAAAGCCAATACACTTCAAAATAACATTAGGATCATGTAAAAGATGACGTTGTTTTGCTGAAACTAAATTGCTGCTTTCAATCAGAAAATGGTGCTGACAGCTCTGGCCAGCATCCCTTGCCTTCACCATGCCTGTGCTGCCACGAGCCATGCGGAGGCTCCATCTCCCAAACATTTTTCTCCCTGCTAAAAATAGCCCTCTGATATCATTTGCCCTGCTCTTGACACAAAGCCTTGTTTTTATAGCAAGCCTGCTTCTCTTTTTCTGTCATTAGCTTCTGACAGCCAATGTGTTCCTACTTGGTATTAGTATTTCCAAAGACCAAAATGATTAAAGAGAGGGGTAAGCACTTCTGATATTAAGCATCATTGCAACGATCCAGAACAAAGAGACAAAAAGAGACACAATCTTCAGTTCATTACTGAAAGAAAATAGAACACATTTTAAGTTCTCATTGAGACTCTTCCAGAGAAACACAAATGTCAGTTTGAGAAATACTGAGACAGACCAGATTGCTGCTATAGTTGGAGCGTATTTCCTACCAAATCCCAACATTAATGGCCAGTGTGATAGAGATGAGTGGGTCGCAGGGACACCTCCTCTTCTGAATGAGACCAGGCTCCTTGTCAACAGCATTTGCTAGCTTGCCCTCTGCCTTCCGCCATGTGAGCACACGGCACTCCTCCTTCTGGGAGATACAACAGGAAGCCAAGAACAACTGCTGCCTGAGGATGACACCTGCTGTATGCTCCTGGGCTCCCTACAACTGTGAGAAAGCAGGTGTCTGTCCTTTTTTCCATGAACTCATCCATTGCATTCTGCTGTAACAGCCCCATGGACTATGACAGCCACTCCTTCCTCACCTTGGTATATCACAAAGACAGTCGGTACACAGTCCCACCTCTGAGACATGCAGCTCCATCAACTGCCTCCACACTGTTCTGCTTTCTTGTATTCATGGTTTTCAACAGGTCCACTACCATCACATGCCATGCTCTGCAAAAAGCTCCAAAAATCCTCCTACAAGACTAAGACCACGTAGGCCACACAGGCCAAAAAGATGTGACAAAAGGAGATTTGAGGAATAAAACTTCTTTCAGTTCATAGGCAGGCATGGACATCTGCCAGTTCTACTGTCTAACAAGATGCCTTGATTTCATTTGGGAGGCCACCTTTCTCACCTGTGTACAACCTAGTAAGCCTTCTGTAAGACACTGGGCAGAAGGGGCCTGCCAGCCTGCTCTTCCAGGAAGCTGAATCCCCAGGGAAGAGTGTCAGGATGGAAAACAGTGGATGGTTCATCATGAGGTTGTGCTAAACAGATTATGTCTTCATATCCCATACTTTAGAATGCCAAAACTTCCTTTGGCAGCCAGGTTTATGCACAATCCACGCTTTTCCTTCCAGTTCTGGGAACTGCCCCCAGGGCCTTGTAGTCAATTGCTTTTGGACTTAAGTAACCAGACTTGGTTTCTGTAGCCCAACCGATAAATATTCCAGCATGACTTTCTAAACATAAACAACCTCAAACAAGGCAATGATTACACGAACAAATGCAACTGTGTTTGCCTTTCACTTCCCAAAACAGAAGTGATCTCATCTGCAAATGGCTGTTTGGGGCTATAGTCAGCTGCTGTAGCCCTGGGGTTAACCCTTCCTCACCTACCCTCCAGCCCATGGGCTCTGGGGGAATCTCCTAATCCAGAAGTGCCAGCAGGGACAAAAGTCTCTCTCCAGCACAAGGCAAGAGTCACCAGATGCTTGCACATGGCAGGTGTCCCCCTGGGATCAGAAGGGACAAGGGAGAACCCAGGGGTGGCTGCTCACACCACAATGGCACAGCCAAGTTCATCTACCAAGCTAATACCTGTTAAAATGTTTTAAAGTCTGTCATTCTCTGCCTAAACATCTGTACCCCTTTTCTGGGACATTTTTGGATGCTTTCCTTTTCTACAATAGAGGCAGGTCAAAACAAACAGCATTCCATTGACAGTCCTTTGGAGATAAGGACTAGAGCTATTCCTCTCCAAAATGTCAGGGTCAAAGGTGATGTCTATCAACAGTATTGCCCAGTGAACCTGTTCACTGTGTTGGATGACTGGATCAACTACTTGCTCAATCCTGGAATATACACAGGAGCCTCTGTTAAGGTGGCTCTTAACCATGTGCTAGACAAGTTCTAAGAATCAACACAAATTTATTAATACACTATTTATCGTGTTCTCACAGATCATCAGTTACTGGCACTCTAATTTTACAAATAAGAAAATAACAGAGTTGTTAATAACTTGCCCAAACACACCCAGATGGTAAGTGACAGAGACAGAGTTCAAATTCAAGCAATCTGACTCCAGAGTCCCAATTCTTAGCCATTCCACTCTCTTGCCTCTCATAGGACAAGAATAAGCCAGACCAAGTTCATTGTCCCCTGAAGAATAGATTCAGCTAGAATGACCATCCATGTATGTTGTAATTCGGGGTGTTAAATGCCTTACGTGGCCTATCCAGTTACAGATTCATGAATAACAGTTATTAAGTTCTTTCCAAGATACATAATGAAATGTAGCATACATAAACCCAAACGGAAGCTACTCAAGAAATAACATGTTTAAGAAACAAGAAAATATTTATTGCTTTCAATTTTATGCTCCAAAATAAAACAACGAAAAGTTCTCTACACTTGCCCATGACACAACGATAACAGTGGTAATTCTGAGAGGGAAAGGCTGAAATAGAGATTGAAACAGCAACTTCAGCATCACTTACTGTCCATTGCTAAATCCAAAGCACCTAAGGCAAATTAACAGATGGATACATATAAAAGCTTAACCCAAGGAGCCTAGTTGGTCCTCAAGAGTGAAACAAAAGATATGTGACTTTGAAATTCTTAGCTTTCTCCAAAACTAAAATACTAAAATTTTAGAGTCCTGAATGTCTTATTTCTTTATTCCCTGCATGGAATACCAGAAAGAGCTTGTACCTCAATAGTCATCAAATTTAGTTTAATCATTTTAATTCTCTCAGTTGTCCCATCCCAGTGAATGGCCAAAATACCTGCATAGCTGCTCAAGCTGGAAGATACAGAGAGAGAGAGAGAGAGAGAAACAAAATGAGAGAGCAATGAGTGTAAAAAAGAATACAGACACTCACACACACACATTCCTTCGCCAGCCAACTATCATACATAGTAACTAAATGGCTTTTCTGGTGCTCTGATGATATGAAATGCACAGACACTACATACCATGGAGGGACACCTACTTTCTTCATTTGGCGGTTGAGGAACTGTGAAACTGAAGTGTTGTCAATGGGAAATGCCCGTGCAAAGGCCCCGGCACTGAACAGCTCTCCTCATTGTACAAGTCCAAGCTTTGTTCTTTGTTCTTCTGCATGTGTTTGCTCAACAGCTCTTGCCCTCCCTCCAGTGCACAGAACACCCAGCCTGCTTCTCTTTGTGGCTTCTCCAGGGGAGTGTCAGCCTGTGATAAAATGTCAGGGTCCACCCATCTTTTCACTCCAGAGTGCAATCAAGAAACTTCAGGTAATGGGCTCTGCACTCTAGCCAAAAGACAAAAATGCTATAGCGCAGGAGGGGCTTTGAGGCAGAAAGAAGGAACAGTTGGGAGAGATGCTCTCCAGGCTCAAAATAGAAGTGCTGAGCGGCGGCAACAGATTTCAATCTGCTAATCTGGAAAGTCACATTACTGGGTCTTGATGTGAATCAGCAAGGCCTTTTTTTTTTTTTTATCTATATCCGCCTGAGTATTTCTACTGCCCCATGACCAGACACTTCTCCCAAGGCAGCTGGCTGTTGTCTCAAGAGCAGAGCCTTTGTTGGGCATTGGGGATGTGAATCCCTCTAGGGACCACCTCGCCCCTTGCCTAAGCCACCGCAGATGCCTCCCAGGAACGTCTACTTCCAATAGTTACAAACAAAGCTAAGGCCTTTAGTATCTGCCAAATGGCAAGTCCCTTAGGACATTTCCTTTTGCATTGCCCACCCCTACCCCAGTCCACTCCTCCAACTGGTTCCAGGTGCAAAGCTCTCCGAGCCACAGGAGCTATCTGGAAAATGTAGCAGTATTGCAAACATCACCCCTGCCCTCCTTCCAAATACAAACTCTAGCATACTCCCACACCATCACACAGCCAAGCAGATAGGGTTGGTAACTTTAGGACAATGGCAAGTATTTTTCAACTTGATATGATATCATACTTATACATGGCTCACAGATACTCTCAGGAAGACAGGCAAGTCTTAGAAAATTCCCTAAGATTCTTCCAGTTCTCAGTGTCGCCTTTGGGGACCCAACTGAGAGCTGCTGACAAGTAATAAGAGGAGTACTTCTCTTCATCCTCTCTCTCCCCAGATGGTGCGATAAGAAAAAGTACTGAAATGATTGACAGGCAGGCACTCAAGAAATCTCACAGTCCAGGGGCTCCAAAAGTGTTATGAGAACATTGAGTCACAGCTAGTCCTTACCCCTAAGGGGGTCAGCTTCCATCTCACACACAACTTCCTGAAGTGCATTTTATGTACTGAGTTCTGGTCTCCCAGAATTAGGAAGCTCAGGAAGTCTTGCCCCAGGTCAGAGAGGTTTGAATCAGTTGTCAGAGCATCTGTTCAGTGATTCTAGAATCTTGACTTCATCCCTGCTTTTGAGTGGCACAGTGTTGGGCCTGGAAGGCACAGCACCACCAAGACAGGGGTCTAGGGGATGATACTGTGACACAGTGGATAAAGATACCCCGGTAGCACCAGCATCCCATATGGGCACTGGTTCAAATCCCAACCACTCTACTTTCCATCCAGTTCTCTGATGATGTGTCTGGAAAAGCAACAGAGAATGGCCCTTGCACCCATGTGGAAGACCTAGAAGAAGCTTCTGGTTCCTGGCTTTGGCCTGCCCAGCCCCAGCCTTTGCAGTCACTGAGGAGAGAACCAGCTGATGGAAGACTTTTCTTTCTCTCTCTCTCTCTCTCAATTTGTAACTCTTCCCTTCAAATAAATACATTTTAAAAAATAATTAAAGAGATCTGCTTCTGTGCAGTGTGGGGCATGGCCTTCTTGGTGGGGACAGGAAGGACAGACAGTGTTTATCATATATGTAACTACTTAATTGCCACTGTGAGATATGTTTGAAAAGACAACCTGTAGAAAATACTTCAAACTTTGCAGTGAAGGAAGGTAAAGAAAACTAGCAGTGACACAGGTGCATGCTCATTGGTTAATGTGTCATTGGAACCCTCCACTCACAAAGTGACATGAGCTTTGTACCCTACTAAGCCTATACAAGTGCACAAATTTCTGTTAAATCACTGGGGAAAATCCTTCACTAAAACAAAGTATTTCCAAAGAGGGAATCTCTCGCACATACCCCCAGCTCTCACAGAAGGTGGTTGGCCAGATGTTTGTTCCTGTAACCATTCAAGCTCCATTCTTCTACATTTGTTACTTGCAGGGCTGGGGGTTGGGGAGCGGGGAGACAAGGAAGGGACATCTATTCCCAAGCACATTTCAATGAATTCTAGCAAACGTGTTGGCTGAAAATGACTTGATTTAGAATCTTTCACATCCTAAGGAAAGATTCCAGAAAACTGAAAGAAAACTTTGAGATTCTAAAAATTATAACAATAAAATTACTATGTGCTCCATCCATCAAATGGATCCAAATGGGATCCATCAAATGGACAGGGTGAGCATCTGGGCTAGCAGTTAGAATGCCAGTTCAGACACCCATGTGCCAGAGTAGAATGCCTGGGTTCAACACCCGCTCCCGGCTTGCTGCTAACACACATCCTGGCAAGTAGTATGACGCTTCAGGTCGTTGGGTCTCTGTCACTTGTATGAGAGTCATGGGTTGACTTTCTGGCTCCTGACTTCAGCCTGGCCCAGTCCTCTCCAAACATTTAGTTTAGAGACTAAATCAGTAGATAAGAACACACTCACTTGTTCTCTTTCCTACCTCTCTCTCTCTCTCTCTCTCTCTCTGTCTCTCTCTCTCCCCTCTTGCCTTTCAGATACAAATGCTTCTTCAAAAAGATGCCTCAGACATAGAGATCTCAAGGTCAGGCCCAGAGCCAACTCATGGAAATAGGTCCACCTCTCCATGTGCAAATTCTGGGCCTTTGCCTTATATTTGTGTTTCCTCCACAGTGCCTCCTGTGGCATTCCAGGGGACAGACAAACCTACCAAGACCATCTGAAAACAGAAACAGACTTGAAATCTGCAGCACAGGTCACAGTATCAAATTTAGATCACTGAAGAAAAAAGTAGTACTTGATTCAGATATTACATTCACTTGGTTGTGACTTAGTTCTCATCCTTTAAATGTATACTTTTTAAATGACACAGAATTGCTTTATTCCAAACACACACACACAGAGGCAGGCTGTCATTTTACAACCTGACCCTGACTTCCCTTCAGTAAGGACTTTCCAAGAGAAATTGTGAAATCCCATTATACGACTTTCCCAAGCACTACCAAGCACCCATCTCTGTCTGCAAACCAAGACCTGTGCCTCATAAACTGCACCTGAACTTGAACCAATGCTATGAAACCCAATAGGCACTTTTCAGGCAGCCTCAAGCAGGGTCGTTGGGACCCTGTCTTCTGGATTTGAGAAACCGATAGCCCAAGAGTTCATTCTAAGTACTGTTAACTCTGCTCACAGTCTTGCAGCATGAAGTAAGCATCCCATGAATCAGGGAACAGAAGACAGAAAGCAAAACCAAAAAACCCAAGAAAGTCAACAAAACTCAATGCAGTCAGATTCAGCAAACCAACTTCCCTTTTTATATTATTCCAGGGTGTAGGGGATTGCAATGGTAGATCCTTTTTCTGCCATGCATCTGTCAACTTCATTTATAATTCCGCTCCTCCAGCTCTTTTGGGTCTGCCCTACATAACTAGCTTGATCTAGTAGGACACTGTTCACAAAGATTCATGAAAACTCATAGTTCCATGACCCAAGTTCAAATTCTTCACATGAAAGGCAGAGTCCCCACTTCATGCATTGTCATGCAGGTATGTGCTGTAAAGTAAGTCAGGAATCAAGAGGCTGACAGAGCAACATTAGCGTGAGAGTAACAGGGAAGATCTCACAGTGCTCTACACTCCTGCGGCTCACCATGCGCCCACCACAAACTCCCTCACCCTCCATGACCTGCAAGGCTCCGGGTGACCCACCTCTCTAGCCTCACTTCACATCCTGCACCATTTCTCACTTCCTGTTCCATTGTCTTGGCCTTGTTTCTGTTCCTTGCAGACTCCAAGGCGCATCCCACTGCAGAGCCCTTGCATCTGCTATTCTTCTGCCTGGAATGCTCTTCCCCCATCCTGCTGTTTGCTCAGGCTTAATCATCACCTGCTGGTCTCCGCCTTTGGCTTCCCAGTTTAAACTTACCTCCCCGCCCCAGTCCAGCAGTAAGAGATTCCATCACTCTGCTAGTTTCCTTCATCTCATTTATTGTTTCTGGAAGAATTTAGTTTTCCTAACATCTGTCTTGACCATGGCTGAATTTCAATGTCTAATTCACAGTAGCTGCTCAAGAAATGTTTATATCACAGAATAATTAACTTAAAATGTCAATTCTCTTATTTGTATTTATCTCCCCCCATTATATGAATGTTGCCAAGCTGACTTCTCTCAGAAAAGTCCAGTTTTTTAAGATTCAAACTGCTGCTACTAGAAAGATACTTTGCATGCTGACTTTTTTTTCCTGGAACCTGGTTTCATCAAAGATTTAAAGGCAACAAAGTGATATGAGCAAAAATTAATTGTCACTACCAAAAAGAGGGTTGTGACAGAGACAGCTGACTGTGCCTGAAGATTCTTAGTCTAGGGTCACAATTGTGGTATCCCCTAGCAGAGGACCACTTCAAGTCCATTCCATAGCAGAGGACCAGTTCAAGTCCATTCCACAGCAGAGGACCAGTTCAAGTCTAAGCTGTTCTGTTAGTGGCCTGGGAAAGCAGCAAAGGATGAATCAAGTATTTGTGTCCCTGCTACCCACATGGGAGACCCAGACAGAGTTGATCCAAATGAAGCTCATAGCCATGGCTGCCATTTGAGGTTAACATCTCTCTCCTTTTCCATCTCTGTCACTCTGCCTTTTAAATAAAGTCTGTTTTTTAAAATTCTCTTTGAAAAGATTCAGAGTTCCTGTTTATACCATGTCACTATAGCTGAGAAGGGGCTGCTTGGCTTGGAAATATACTCCCCAGCACCCCCCTCCTTGCATCTAGGTGAAACATAAGAGGAAATGATGTGTAGGCCCATGTCTGCTCTTTGATATTCTGCCTTCTTCCTTCCACCCGGTGGAAACAAAGGCCTAGGAGGTCCTAGGAGGTGGCAGATTTAGAAATGGAAACAACCCTAATCCTGAGGCAGCATCCAGGAATGGAGCTGCCCAACCAGAACATCTGTAACCAGAACATCTGTATCCAGAACTGCAAAAGTGAAAGTGAGCTTGGATGATGCATGGCACCGAGGTTGTATGAACAGTTGTCCACCGTAGCTGCTACTAGCTAAATGAGGCTAGGAGATACAATGACTGCTGTTTGACAATAATATCTTGAGGACAAGGCAAGTTTGTGTGTGATAGAGCTAGGACTACAGGGCCAGGTCTAGGTTCGTTTTCTTCATGCATATTCCATATTTATTTTTTTTAAAAATTTTTCTTGCAGCCTGGTTACAATAGCCTAGTGACTAAATCCTCACCTTGCACCCCCCAGGATCCCTGATGGGCACCAATTTATATCCTGGCTGCTCCACTTTCCATCCAGCTCCTTGCTTGTGGTCTTGGAAAGCAGTGGAGGATGACTCAAAGCCTTGGAACCCTGCACCAGTGTGGGAGACTTGGAAGAAGCTCCTAGTTCCTGACCCCTGGCTTTGGGTCAGCTAAACTCTGGCCATTGAAGTTACTTGGGGAGTAAACCAATGGATGGCAGATCTTTCCTTCTGCCTCTCCTACTCTCTGTAAACCTGCCTTTGCAACTAAAATAAAGTTTTCCAATAAAAATAAAATTTTCCAATAAAAAAATTTAAGATGTATTATTTTTTCAAGAGGCAGAGTTACAGGGAACAAGCAAGAGTAAAAGAGATTTTTCATCTGCTGATTCCCTCCCTAGAAGGCTAAAATACCCAAGGCTAGGCCAGGCTGAAGCCAGGAGCCAGAAGCTTCATCTGGGTCTCCTATGTGGGTGGCTAGAACCGAAGTACTTGGACCATCTTCCACTGCTTTTCTCAGGCACCTTAGCAGGGTAACGGATCAGCAGGGGCACAGCCAGGATGTGAACTGGTGCCCATATGAGATGTTGACATTACAGGTGCCAGCAGCATAGGCTACAAGATTGGTCCTCAAAGTAACTCAATTCCAGTGCATCTCTCATCAGGAAAAAGACAAGAACGGCTGAAATTGCATCTGCAGCAGGCTTAAGGACGAAAGAGAACAGTTTTAAATGAACTAGAAATGAACATATGCTACTGTGTACATGTCAATGTTGCAATCTGTACCTGCCATATTAGTGGAATAAATAAGTGGAATAAAGTAAAAAAAAAAAAGTCCATCAGAAGATGCCCACTGCCATGGCAAGCGGAACTCGCTGACAGGAGTATGTTCATGTCTCTGAAGTGGATTCCCGGCATGCACAATTACATTGTCAGCAGAGACCTACTGCACATCTGTTAAAGTTGCCACCCTGTGTGATACACACTCTTGCATTCATCCAAAGTTCAAAAATATTTGGGAAAAAAAAATCAACTGCATTGAATCTGCAAAGATATTTTTTTCTTGTCATTAAGCCCTA